TCTTATGAAATCTTCCATTTTGAAGACTGAGTTTATTTTGTGCCATCTATCTTTATAGGTAAAGGAGATACCTTCCGGGGTTAACCATTTGAATTTAATTCCTTTCCTCTTTATCGAGTTTACTAATTTTCCATAGAGTTTCCTCTTCTCCCGCAATCTCCATGGAATATCCCTCAGTATCCTAATTTCTTTGCCATTATCTATTAGTGGTCTCTGTGCGTTCACTTTATAGCGCTATAACGGTATAACGCTATAATGCAACAGCATTATATCAAGTCCATTGGAATGCCTGGAGTGTTTTGTTATAGCACTATAGCGCTCTAAAGCGAGCGTTAAAAAAAAAAGCTGGAGATCGCCCGCGCGGGCGAAAAACGGCGGGGAAAAAGAAGTGGAGTCTGAAATGGCAAACCGCTTCAGATCCAGCTCTTTACCAGAAGGGGAAAGCCATGTGTGAAATGGCAGCCCTATACTGGTTTACTCCACGACGAATCAAAAACGACTTCAAAACGGGTTAAAAAGGGTAATGTGAAATTCCTCGGTGTCTCTGTAAGTAAGAGGGAGGACTTGGTATGTGAAATGGTCATGGCTTGCTATATATTTTAAAAGAGGTGAGATGCATGGTGAAGTGTGACTGTCTTTCCTACCAGTAACCCTGAACCTGTGGGAGGGAGGTTGTGGAGGGCAGGGGCATAGACTTTACAATTTCCCGGGGGAGGGGACTGGGGCTGAAGGACATAATAGGGAGGAGCCAGTGACATCACAGGCCATTGTCACTATCTGTAGAGGCAGAGCCATGTGGGATTTAGGAAGTGGTGCCTGGGAACCCATGGGAACCCCCCTAACCATGCCCATAGGGTAGGAAAAGGTGGGAGTTGGCCAGTGGTTATAGTGGTATCTCAGCAGTCTCCTGCTGTGTCCTTTTTTAAAATTCACTTTTAGAATAGTCACTTTAAAATCTGCAAATATACATACTATGTACATAGGACAAACAAATTGTCACAGATTTGACAGTAAGGAAGCCAACACAGAAAAGCCTGTAGGAGAACATTTTAAAAGTTTTCCTGGATGTTCATTTGCAGGAATGACTTTGCAGGGTGACTTTGTACTGAAATTTACTAAATTATGGCATCACATATGTCTTTGTTTGATAAATACATGGCTGAAGTCTGTGAGCCAGGGCAGAATTCCAAAGAGTTGCTGTGCACTCAATTTCTGAGTAATGTACAGAGTTCAGAGTAGCAGTAATTTTACTTCAAACTGGGAGTTGCAGAAGTGTTCTCGGACTATCATTCCATTTTGAGGGCTGTCATTCCAGTCCCAGAACATCTCTGCTATCCCAGGGGCTGTCATTCTAGTCCCAGAGCACTGAGCCTATTCCCATGGGCTATCCTGTCATCCGACACTGTGACCTGTCATTCCAGTCTCAGAGCACAGATTCTATTGCTAGGGATTGTCATTCCACTCTGGGGCTGTCATTGCAGTACCAGAGCACAGATTCTCTTCCTAGGGACCGTAATTCCACTCTGGGGCCGTCATTCTAGTCCCAGAGCACAAATTCTAATCCTAGGGACTCTCTTTCACTCTGGGGGCCATCATTCCACTCCCAGAGTAGCCTATCTGGGCCCAAATACCTTAATGGAAATCCATTCCACATTTTATTTGCAACTTTTTTTGTGCTGCAATATATTTCAGTGGAGCCCATGCAAGTCAATTAGCATTCCTGGCTCCCATTATCTCAAGTGGGCCTTCAAGCATCTCCCATTGTTTCCAGTGGGCAATCCTGTAATTCCAATTAGTTGCCCCTTTGAAACTGTACCACACCATTTTAATTAACAGCAAAATGAAGAGCATGAACATGTACAGAGTGCACATTCCTTGCCAATGTTCTCTCTGGGCGGCACACAGGAAAAAGGAAATTTTTAACGGCTTCTGATCTGCATGTCCCCCCAATCTTGTTCATGCTGATGGGTTTACCATTTAAAAATGAAATGGAAATTGAAAGAAGAGCTTAGGAGTGGTTGAAGCAGCCTCCCCCCACCATGAAAAAAACAATTGTTCTCAATCAAGGATATATAGACCCAAGTAAAATAAAATAAAGATTCACTTTTTACCCAAATGTAAATTGGAGCCCAGCAAGTATGTTGGGCCCAACAAGGGGGTTCACAATCTGACTATTGCTACATTGAAAGTGGGTGAAGACAGCTAGGATTAAGAACTATACTTTCTTTTCCGACAGACACCAAACATATTCAAGGATTGACATGTTTTGGATTTCAAAAACCTTAGTTATTAACTAAGGTTTAACCTTAGTTATTAACATGAACAAGCAGGGGTGTCAAATGCATTTGTTATGAGGGCCGGATCTGACATAAATGAGACCTTGTTGGGCCGGGCCATGTGTGTCATAAAATGTAATGCCAGGTAGCGGAGATATAAACTTTATAAAGGACACAAAGGTTTTTTTTACTTTAAATAAAAACATGCTTAAAACATTAGCACTCTTGCAATATTTTGTTTATTTAACAGTATCTGATCATTGACACCTCTTGCTCTGAATTATTGCATCAAAATATCTGTGCTGTTGCAATCTTGAGTATGCTGTTCAGGTGTATATCTGTAAGCTGCCAACCTACAATGAAGCAGCAGCAGCAGAACTGGAAGAAGAAGCAGAAGACAGACCCCACTGTGGGGCTGATAGAAGCCATCCAGGGGCCTGATCCAGCCCCCGGGCCACATGTTTGACACCCCTGTCCTAGAGCGTGCAAAGAGACAACCAAAAACCTGATGGATCCAGCCACAACAGACCTTCTCTTCCTGTTGCAAGGAATGTTATCAAATCTCTTTCCTCGCTCAGCTTTTCCTGTCTCCAGAGATCTGTCTTCCTAAAGACTCTCTAGCATACATGCTTGGAGAAGAGAGGGGGGAGGGGGGATGTTTAATCATCCCATTGTCTATCCTGCTAGCTCAATTAGCATTTCTAAGAAGGTGAACCTGACTTCCTTCTTTCTAGCCAAGAGGAAAAACCCACAGGGGAAACTTTTAAACTCAATATTGCCTGGCACTGGTTGCCCGGGGGACACTCAGCCTCTCCCCAGAAAAAAATTGGGAGGCCCAGGCCCCCAAGTGCCCCCCTGTAGTTTATGCCTATGGTGGAAGGCGGTAGGCAATTTGTGTGAATGAGCAAGGTCGTCACACTCATGTATTAGGAGAGTCTCATAGTGAAAGATGGTTTTGAACAAAAACCACAGTTGCCTTTGGTTCCTATAAAATCAAATCCCTGTGTGCTCAATAGTCAACCAGAAGCACTTATTGGAGTTGAAACATTTCAATGACTAAATGACAGGGAAAGTAAAAGTTTTGCTTTTTTTTTTTTAGAATATTGCTGGACAGTGTTCAAATAAGGGAAATCTGGAATTCCTTGATATTACTCATAAGGCTGACACAATTCTTGGCTTTTAGATGACTTGGTAGTTTCTAATTTTGCACAAATTCAATCCTAGCTGAACAAGGTAATAAAAATGGTGGGCCTTCAGCAGGTTTAGCTCTTCTGATTTCCTTAAAAATTAGAGCAGAACTCAATTTGGTAAAAAAAATTGTCCCTGTGACATGGCACTTTATATAAAACTTGATATTTACTTGATAATTAATGTTTATAATCTGTTGGCAAAGATGAGTCAAAACAAATATGGTCAGACAAAGCACCCTTCAAAGAGCTATCTTCCAGCTGAAGGAGATCTTATGTATGTATGTATGTATGTATGTATGTATGTATGTATGTATACCCTGCCTTTCTTACATCATTCTTCTGTCCTCCATTTTATCCTCATGAGAATCCTGTGATATAGATTAGGTGAAGAGAGAACAACTGGCCCAAGGTCATACAGCAAGCTTCTATGGCATGAGATCCTAGCGCAGGGCTAGCCAAACTGTGGCTTGGGAGCCACATGCAGCTCTTTCACACATATTGTGCAGCTCCCAGCAGGGTGGCTGGGGAAGTGAAGGGGAGGCATGCCTCCCCGACTGATCTTCCCTTCCCCAGCCAGTGTTCCCCTCCCTAGGTAGGCTTGAGGTGGGGGACAGCAGAGAAAGAGAGCAACTTAAACTTTAAATGCATTCTCAAATCCCCCCCCTGCCAGCTTGAAGAAGGCATTTGTCTCTTTAAATCCTTTCTCCAAGCCAAGCCAACTGGTGTGGGGGTGGGGGGCTTGGAGGACGCATTTAAAAGTTAAAGTTGTTTTCTTTCCACCTCTCCCTCCCTCCCTCCCCTTCTATTTCCTTCCTTCCTTCCTTCCCCTCCCCCCCTCCCCCTTTCTTTGTTTTTCTTGCTTTCTCTCTCTTTCTCTCTTTCTTAGACAAATAAGTATAATTATCAAGCAAATATAATTGGACAAATAAATATTATTATCAATACCTGTTTTTACCCCTTTTGTTTTTAATGTTAATAAAAAGCAAAATAGCATATTATTCAATAAAAATGTGTGTGTGATATTTGTTCATGTCTTGCGGCTCTCAAACATCTGACATTTATTCTATGTGGCTCTTACATTAAGCAGGTTTTGCCACCCCTGTCCTAGCGCAACACTGTTAACCACTATACCACAGTGGCTTTCAATGGAAGAGCTACTTAAGTTGGAGGGAGGCTCCTTAGACTGCAGAAGGTTGCTCAGTGGAGTAGTATGATGGGGACAGGATTCACCCCAATGTAGTTTTGTGTTTAATATTTCTAGTAAAGTTCTGCCTCTGCTGCACTGAAAACAAGTATTTCCATTTTTATTCAACAGCTTCCTAATTTTTAATTTTGGACTTCAGGAAGTGTTTAGAATAGTAACTTTTGAATCATGCTACTAGCTTGCGTAACAAAAATGAAGTTAAATGGAAATTATCTTTCACTAATCTTTTCCCTCCTAATTTTTGTAGGGTGGACGTAAGGTTGAATGTACGGAAAACCCCAAGGTAAAATAGTAATAGTTCTGTTTAATCAGTATGCAACATGATAACCATGATCTGTATTTATACATGATAATGCTGTTCTGTAGTTGCTCACTGCTGCAAGATGAACATCTCCCACGGAACTGACAATACTTATTATTAAACATCTATTTTAGCTCTTCATATTTTATACTTGTATCCCACCAAACATGTCTCCCCAGCATGAGGTGGCTGTTTATTGTTTGTTCATTGATACTACATATTGATGTTCTAGTTAAAATGTATAATACTTTTCCAGAGATAACACCATTGAATCAAGGTGAACTAGGATGTGTGCTTAACTATGTGCTGAAATGTATGCATAAAGTTGCATATTTAATTTCATTTCAAGGTTTACAGAATATGATTTCGCTGCCAAATAGCACACTAAAACTCATCTTGATAACATGATAGTCTCTGGCTTAAATCTCACCCTTGAACTCACCATTGGCTCAGTTCAGAGGTAGCTCCAAATCATGGTTTGGTGTTAACTCAAATTAGCTTTGGGCAGATATCTAGGCTTGCACCTTGTTCTTCTTCTTGCTCACTCCAAATCCCTGCCTGACTTCCTATTTTGTGGCAAATTAGAATTTGCTGTTGTATCTAATTCAGACACTGTGGTTCATGCTTATCTCCCAATTCAGATTTGGAAATCAGAGTTTGATTATCGTTTCCAGTTCTGATTGGGAGAGAAAAAAGCTAAAACCGTAGTTTTTCTGTAAAAAATGAATGAATTAGAGCATGTAAAGGGGAAGGTGCATGAGCTAGAGGTGTGTTGACATAACATTCCAGTTGATTCACTGGATTTTCTTATACATTTCTGTTCTCGGCATCAGTCCCCAGTATGCATTCTGATAATTCTGATGTCTTATGGGCCTGTTGTAAGCAACTGAGATAATGCATGTGAACACAACATACATATATGTAAAACTGTTATTGCATCTCTGTTTTGCTAAAGGTGATCGTTTATGAGAAGCCTTTCTTTGAAGGAAATCACATAGAACTTGATACAGACTTAGCAGCTCTTCCCAAGGAAGGAAATCAAGAAGAAGGGTCACAGATGAAAAAATTGCTGCTCAAATCTGTAGGTTCCATGAAAGTGAAAGGAGGAATGTAAGTATTAGTAAGAAGTATTGGAATTGCTACTGAGAGCTATTGTGCTGTGGTAACTGCAAGATAGTATTGTGGATCAGGAGGTCAACTGGGTTAATCACATAAGTAGCATGTACCTGCCATGAATATTCATAATTGATCCACAATCCCTGTAGCATGTTCATGAAGTTCAAACAAGAGAGTTGAGAAAAAGAGACATATAGGTTTTGCATTGCTGTGAACATCATAGTACATACAGTGCTATTAATTTCCCTAATGTGTGAAGCAGCTGTTATATTTCTGTGATACAGACTTTTGTGATGAAAAATTGTTCATGTCTCCATTTTATGACAAGTTTTAATATTGGTTCAGTTCACATGGTCTCCACTCATCTATGCCACAAGTTTCCCTTACTTTCAGGGGATGCTTATTGGGTACTAACTGCTATCGCCAGAAAATCTGAGAGTGTCTTATGCTAGATGGATTTGCACATCTGGCACTCTGCATCTGCATTACTGTGTAGAGGCTGTGCCTTGGTGCTGCATCTCCTACTCTGCTTGTACTAGCTAGCATGGAGATGATCAAACACATATTTGCAATTTTTGTGCTATTGTGCTCAAGGAATGATGAGCTCACATGCTGCCTCTCCCTGTGTTAACAAGATCAAATAGGTGTGGTGTGTTTACAGAGATCAGGCTTAGAGCATTCCAAATATGAGAAAGTTCAGTAAACAAAAATAAAGAGTACTTATGGTCTGTTCAAGCATCACGCTAAGTAAGAATACAAAGAAAAGGTGAAAACATGATTATCCTAAGCAATGTTTAATTAGGATAGACTAGTAAATCTTGGCCCTGACATGGATGTCCCAGACTAGCCTAATCTCATCAGATCTTAGAAACTAAGTAGGGTCAGTCCTGGTTAGAACTAACTACTGGTTAGTACTTGGATAAGAGACCGCCAAGGAAGGCCAGAGTAGCTGTGCAGAGGCAGGCTATGGCAAACTACCTTTATAGTCTTTTGCCTTGAAAACCCTCCAGGGTCATCATAAGTCAGCTGCGACTTGATGGCACTTCCCACCCCTCCCCCAGTAAATCTTGAAGTTGCAACATTTAAAAGCCCGTCATTACCTAAGTTCTCAGAGTTGGGACTTCTCCCCATTGTACCATGGCATGTGAACAAGATAGAGTCCCTAAATAAAGCATTAGTCCTTCATGGCATGTGCTGATCCAAGGAAGATGAGCCAGGGGAAGAGAGCATAAAAGATCTTCTTCCTCATGTCCTGAAAATTTGTAGTCTCCACTTGGGAGTCTGTCCCCTTCTGGGTTTGTTCGGCTTCAAGAGCAATAAATGACTATTTAGCATTTGGTTCTCCCAGTCTCTTTAGGTATGATGTTCCACCATGGTATAAGGTGTTAAACTTTTTGTTCTTACTTGAGCCAGATCCATCACCATAACTATGAGCTGTAGTACTCTGAAATGGGGAAAGAGATGACTCATCTCCTGTAGTTTTCCTTTTGCCAGTCTTTGACTAGCATTGTAGCCTCTGGAGCATGTGTAGAGTGTAACCCCACAATAAAATATCAAGGTGGATTGTAGGGTGGAGGTCATTTCTCCACAGCAACTATGGTTTGGTTTGAAAACTGAGAGAGGAAATTGCAATGTACATAGAGGAGAAGTAAAGAAGAAGTGCAGAAGCCTGAGTCTCACTTGTGTAATATCAATCAGTGGTTTGGCTTTATGTCTGAACCACTGTGTTGATATTGTGTCAACAGTGTAAATGTTACATGGCAGGATGATGCTTATTGGTAAACCTAAGTAATTTCATGTTGTTTGATTTTGAAATGTGTATGTGTTAGAAACGGACCATTGGTACTTACCCGTGAAGGGTCCTTCTCCTCTGAGATGAAGGAGGACATCTTGCTGGGTGCTTCCCACCCTATCCTTAGGGAGGCAAGAACAAAACTTCACTTCCTGTCCTCTCGGTAGGGAACGCCCACCAGTCAGTTAGGAACTCCAAAAAGCAGTAAACCGCTGGAAAGAACTATAAAAACAATCAACATCGTAACTCGTGTAGACAGGAAACAAGAGAACAGGAAGGAAAATTCAACCCGCATGCACAAAGAGGCACACAACACAAGTAAAGTGAAATATGGAAAAAATAGGAAGTAGACGATGATTTGGGAGGGCCCAAGATGTCCTCCTTCATCTCAGAGGAGAAGGACCCTTCACGGATAAGTACCAATGGTACGTTCTCCCTCTGAGAGGAGGACATCTTGCTGGGACCTCCTAGAGCAGTGTCCTTAGATTATGGGAGGGTCATCGTCTAATCTGTTAGCACTTGCTGAAGGACGCGTCTGTCGAAGGCCGCATCAGCTGAATTAAACAAGTCAATCCTGTAGTGTTTTGTGAAAGTAGCTACAGAGGACCATGTAGCAGCCTTACATATTTCTTCTACTGACGCGCGGTTAGAGAAGGCTGCGCTTGTAGCGGCACTATGGACGGAGTGAGCCGTAATGCCCATCGGAGGAACCATCTTCTGTGCCTTGTACGCCTCAGCGATGCACACTTTGAGGGTCGATCTGATTGTGGAGCTGGACATCTTGGATCCCTTGTTGGGAGGAGAGATTGAGATGAACAACGACTCAGATTTACGGAAAGATTTAGTCCTATGTAGAAAAACCTTCAGGACACGACGGACGTCCAGTGTATGCCACGTCCATTCTCTTGGATGTACAGGATTTGGACAGAATGATGGTAAACAGATCTCTTGGGATCTGTGGAATTGAGAGTTAACCTTAGGTCTAAATGTAGGTTCGGGAGACAGGACCACCTTATCTCTGTGAAAAACGCAAAAATGAGGGTTAGCAGAGAGCGCTCCCAGCTCAGATACTCGTCGGGCAGATGTTATCGCTACTAAAAACAACGTTTTCATTCGAAGCCACTTTAAGGAGATATCTTTGACTGGTTCGAAAGGAGGCTTAGTTAGCGCATTAAGTACCAGGTTGAGCTTCCAGGTAGGAAATCTATGATTCACCGGTGGGTCGAGGGAGTGTGCTCCCCTGAGAAAGCGTTTGATGTGTGGATGTCTAGCTAAAGTCCCACCCTTGATTGTGGGAATAACCGTAGACAAGGCCGCAACCTGCCTCCTCAAGGTAGAGGATTTAAGACCCGAATCATGTCCATCTTGTAAAAAAGAGAGAATACTCTTGAGACGAGGCTTTAAAGGATCAACAGACTTCCTTCTTGCCCATCGCACGAAAGCCTTCCATGTGGAATTGTAGATGTTGCAGGTGGAAGGGCGCCTAGCTGCCATAATCGTGGAAGCTACGTTCTCTGGATACCCTAAATCGAGAAGTCCGCGCCGCTCAATCGCCATGCGGTCAAACGGAACCACCCCGGGTCCGGGTGCCAAAGTGGTCCTTGCCGAAGCATATCCGGGGTTATCGGGATGGTAAGATGAGGACATATCTTGAGACGCTGGATTTCTGAAAACCACGGTCTCCGAGGCCAGTGAGGAGCCACGAGGATGGTCTCTGCCTTCTGTTCCTTGAGTTTCCTGAGTAACCTCGGTATGACTGGAATGGGAGGAAAGGCAAACATCAGACCCGGTGGCCACGGGGACGTCAGGGCATCCGTTCCTTCCGCCTCCCGATGGTAAAAGCGACTGAAATAATGGGGAAGTTGGAAGTTGAGCGGGGAGGCAAATAGATCCACGTCCGGAGGACCGAACTTCTCCACAATCAATATGAAGAAGTCTCTTCGGAGAGACCACTCCACCTCCTGGAGTTGGCAGCGGCTGAGCCAGTCGGCTTGGGTATTCAATGAACCTTTGATGTGTTCGGCTCTGATGGACGCAAGGTTGATTTCCGCCCACGAGAAAAGTAGGTTGGCTTCCATGCGTAGGCGGGTCGACTTGGAGCCGCCCGGATCAACACATGACTTCCCAGAACATTGATGGGTTGTTTGCTCTCGGAAGAGGACCAGAGACCTTGAGAGGGGACATCGAGGTGGAGTGCTCCCCAACCCGTCAAGCTTGCGTCCGTGATTATCTGTTCCCAGTGTGTCACGTAGTAGGTTCGTCCTCTGAGGAGGTTGGGCAATCTGGTCCACCACATCAAACTGGATCTTACCGCAGTAGTGATGTCTACTGGGACGTCCGAGCGACTCAGAATCTTGAATTGAAAAGGTCGTAGGAGTTGTTGTAGAGGCCTCGAGTGAAGACGGGCCCACGGAACTGTGTCGATACAAGAGATGAAGAGGCCCATCAGTCTTGCCAGTGTCATGAGTGAGACTCGTTGGCTCTTGACGGCCTGCTTGGAAAGGTTGCATATCATTTCTGCCTTGACCCTGGAAAGAAACATCTTGTTTTGAGATGTGTCCAGGAGTACTCCTAAGTGTTCCAGTTTCTGAGATGGTACAAGACAGCTCTTTTGAAAGTTCACAAGGAAACCGTGGGACTGAAGACATTGGACGGTGGACTCTGTATCTTGAGAGGACTGTAGATGAGAGGCCGAGCGAATCAAGAGGTCGTCCAGGTAAGGATGAACATGGACACCTTGTTCTCTCAGAAGAACGACTGGATGAATCAGCATTTTTGAAAAAACTCTTGGCGTGTGGATAGGCCAAACGGGAGGGCCCGGAATTGCCAGTGTTGGCCTTGAACGCAGAATCGAAGGAAGCATCTGTGCCCTGCGAATATCGGGATGTGTAGATACGCCTCCTGAAGATCTATTGATGTTAGGAATTCGCCCGGTTGGAGAGCTTCTGCTATTGTTCGAAGAGTCTCCATGCGTCGAAGGAGGACGAACTTGTTTAGGTATTTCAAGTCCAATATCGCCCTCCAGCTGCCATTTCGTTTGGGCACTGTGAAGAAGATTGAATAAACTCCCTGGCTTCTTTGCTCAAGAGGAACTGGTTCTATGGCTAAAATTTTGGCCAGATGTTGTACCACCTCCATAGTTCGTTGCAGCTTGCCTTGATGTGTTATGAGTGGAGAGAGGACATAGTGGTCCGGGGGTTTGGTTCGGAATTCGATGGAGTATTCGTTTGTCACAATTTCCCTGGACCAGGCATCTGCATTGGATTCCACCCAGGCTTGACGAAACCTGAGTAGACGTCCTCCCACTGGCGCTGCTTCGCAGTCATGCAGAGGAAGATTTGTTCCCTCTTCCGGATTTATCGTCTCTTGGAGGGAAGGAACTTCCAGATCTGCCATGGAAAGGGTTACGTCTGAAACTTTGTCTAGATGTGCCCCAGAAGGGTCGTCTGCCATCTCTATTGGATCTGTAGGAAGATCTTGATCCACGAAAGGAAAAATTGCCCATGGCGGGCAGCTGGGAGCCATGGATCTTTTCTTATCCTTAGTTTCTACAAGGATTTTATCCAAGGAATCCCCGAAGAGGCGGTTGCCTTGAAAGGGGTAAGCTGCCACGATGCCTTTTGCGTAGAGATCCGCCTGCCAGGCACGTAACCACAGTGTCCTGGCTGCTACCATGGAAGCTAATGCTCTGGAAGAAAACACCATAGCGTCAAGCGTGGCATTGGCTGAAAAAGAAGACACTAACAGAAGTCTATTTGCTCCTTCAGATAAGTGTTTATTAGCCTCAGGAATAAGTTGAGTCATTTTCTTGGACCAGGCTATAGAGGCCCGGGCCACTACCGTAGCGGTGGCTGTTGCTCTGATGGCCATAGCTGTGGCCTCGTGAGCTTTGCGTAAGGCAAACTCCGCCTTTCTATCTAGGCTATCGCGCACCATACCTTCGCCTTCTTCTGACAGCAGCCCTGATGTTTGCAGGGCTGTAATCGGGGCGTCCACAGGTGGAACCTGTAAAAGTTTGTCTGCAAAGTTAGGTAATGCATAAAGTTTCTTAATGTTGAGGGGACGTTTGTTTGCCATGGGTTTAGCCCATTCCTTAACTAGCTGTTCTTCTAAGAATTCAGGGAAGGGAAAGGCCTTTTCAAACCCTGGGTTTCTAGGAAAATAGTCTTTGCTCCCCCTAGGTCTCAAACCATCGGCAGAGTTTTCATTAGCAAATTCGTCAGTCTTTGGTCTGGGAGTAAGTTCTAATGTAGACATGGTCTTTTTAAGTAAATACATTTACTCCTCAGGTTTAAAGAAGCATAGGGCAGGGTCAGGCACCTCCACTTCCTCTTCCTCATCAGAGAGGAACTCTCCTTCCTCCCTATCACCCATTTCACTCTCTTCCGTTTGTGATAAATCCCCATGGGAGTCTGCACTTGAGGAACAATGGTGACTCTTCCTGGCTGCCTTTGTGGGCCAAGGATGTCTGTCATTCCCAGATAATCCATGAGAAAAATTCCCTTGGGAACAGTGGTCATAATGGGTAGAGGGGGGGGGAAATGGGAACCATCCCCCTGGGAGTCTCTGTTTAAATTAGCTAGTTCCTCTCTCATAGTTTCTCTAAAGAATTGAATAACCTCGGGTGTTAGGAGAGGATTACCCCCCCCCCCGGTCTGGAGTACTCATAGGGCCAGCGACAGAAGCGTCGTCGCCGCGATCCATCGGTCCCCTTGGGGTTAAAATCTCCTCATGGCCCGGTATCTGGCTTATGGATGCAGCGAGAGCCGCCCCGCAGCCATTTTCCTGTTGTTCCGTGAGGGCGCCCTTTGCCGCTTTGCCCGAAATGGCGCCCGTCGCGTGAGGCGATTCGGCAGATCAGGACTGTTTTCTGGCGCCAGAAGGAGCCGCCGTCGAGGCATGAGGCATAGCTACGGTAGATTTTAATAAGCGCTGAGCCGAAAGAAGCGTTTCTCCGGTCTCACCCTCGGAGAAAAAACTGTCGCTGTCCTCCCTTTCCGACATACCCCGGTTGGGGAGGCGGGAGGGGTTAATAGAGGAGGCGAAGAGAGAGAAATGACAGAGAATAATATAGTCTGAAAAAAAGTATAGAATAAAATGAAAATAGGGAAGAAAGTCACGGAGTTGTAGTAAAAAAGAGAAATTGAAAGGCACGAGTTCCAACGATGTGCTGCTCTCCCTAACGAGGCAGGAACTAAACTGACTGGTGGGCGTTCCCTACTGAGAGGACAGAAAGTGAAGTTTTGTTCCTGCCTCCCTAAGGATAGGGTGGGAAGCACCCAGCAAGATGTCCTCCTCTCAGAGGGAGAACTGCCGATTTTAATTTGTTGTTGCTGATTTAGTTCACATAAATCAATTCTTTCAGCTGGAGAGATTTAAGCACCGTAGCTTAAACGCCACTCAAACCATTATGTGGGCCATAATGGCCCTTGATTGTAGCCAAGTGGAATGTGCCAGCTCCTGCAGCTCCAGCCGTAATGTTCCCACCTACTATGAATGAGTGGGCAGGGAAATGATACAACAGGGATGGGCACCTGAAGCTCATCCCCAGTAAACCAACTGGGAAACAACACTTCCCTTTTTTATTCAGTGGGATTGACATTGAGTTAACAAGATAAGGATTGGTCTTTAGAGGGCTGTGGATCTCCCATCATGGACTACATAGTTTTGCTATGTTTCTGCATGTTTATTCAGAAATAACTCCTGTTTCCCCTTCCCCCAGAAAGTATGTTTTAGATGTCAATCTCAAGGCAGCAGTCCTACATGTACTTATCTACCTGACTGACTGCCCTTTGGCTTTTGCCTATACATGCTCAAGATTGGGCTGCAAATTTGACATGCTGAGAGAGAGCACTCTGTTCCTGTGAGCTAAAGCTTTTTTTTTTCATGTTGGGGATCTGCAGTGAGGAGTTCTTGTTGGGCCAAGCTCCCCACTGTTGCTGAACTGAGGTGTTAGAGTTACTGTAACCTCTCAACCAGCTACAGTGCTTTAATCTCGCCATCTGAAAAATTGATCATGTTCCTTATTTTTATTGTACTTCCATGATAACTTATTGTAAATTCCATTTTTGATCTTTATTTTGATTTTTTTATGATTAATGCAAAAAGATTACAAGTTCTATCAAGTTTTCTTTATCATGCAGTTCATTTTTGAGTTTTAAATGTTTTATATCATTTTAGTTGGGTTGCTTATGAGAAGCCAGGGTTTACTGGGCATCAGTATTTGCTGGAAGAAGGAGAGTACCCTGAATGGATGGAATGGGGTGGTTATAATGAACAGGTGCAATCGCTACGGCCTGTTCTAGGGGTAAGTTAAAAAAAAAACTTCCTGAATTTTCCTTCTGCCTTTTTTGTTTTGCTGTTGTATCCTACCCTCATGTTTTGCCTGGACCCACACAATATTTGTAGAGGCAAAGGAGAAGATGGGCTGGCCATCTTCCCCCTATTATTATCCACCTGCTGCATCCCCATATCATTTACCCAGGCTAGTTAAGAGCTGCACATGGAGGCAGTCTTTGTGTTCGGACTACTTTTTAGTCAAGAGCAATGGGCTTAAACTGGTTGTGCACCCAAATGCATATCCCAGTATGGATACTGTCTATCCATACTGCATTGATGTCAAAGGAATTCAGCTGTGCCTCCTGTAACTGATGGGATGTGTCTCTCAATGTGCATTCTGTTAGACATGGTAAAATGTAGATAGATCTTATATATGTTTGCGCGTGCATTTGGATCCACATCCAGTGTATCCTGCAGTCTTTCAAATTTCAAGCAGGCATTTGCCATTGCTGTTTAAAGAAATCTTACAGCAGGGGATGTTGGGCTTAGAAAGTACAGTATCGTGCCTAAAAGTTAACATTTTCTCTCTTCCATATGGTCCTGAAAACTGCTAATAGGCTTTCCCTAGCTCAGTTTAAATAATCATTTGAGGATGTCAAATTGGCTTTAGAGTTGGTGCACCCTTCAGTGTTAAATGATTTTTTTGAAGGTGGTGTGTGGGAAGCACTGGGCATTGATGAAGCACATTTCCTGTAAGATAAACCACCTCTCTTTAAATTGTGATAGGTAAAATTGTGATGGTATAGCCCACAGGTGTGCATGACTGATGGAGCAAGACTCAAAACTGCATGCTTCTTTGTACTCCTCAGTTTTGCTGACTATCTTAGGCTCTTGCACAATTGCCATCTCTGGGTCCCTGCTATTTAAGTGTGTGTGTGTGTGCATGTGTGTGTGAGAGAGAGAATCTATGTGTGTGTTGGAGACTAGCACCTTTTTAAAGAGTAGTATTTCTTTGCATACTTTCTCCTGGTGGCAGGGGTCTACTGTTTTGTTTTGGCACACAGGGCACCCTGTTTATTAATACGGAGGGGATGATAACAGACAGCAAGCGAAGTCATTTTGTGATTACTGTGTCTTGATTGTTTTCTGTTGGTTTTCTTTCCATAGAGTTTGACACAGCCACACATGATAATGTACACTGAAAAAGATTTTGGAACGAAAGGTTCTAGTATAAATGTGTTAGGAATTATTTCCAATTTGAAGGACACTGGCTATGGACTGAGAACACAATCCATAAGCGTTTTAAGTGGAGTGTAAGTCAGCTGTCTAGCTTCATTTTTATTTTAATAGTTAATTTTGGCACATTAATAAATATTAGGGGGGAAAGTATTAACCTTTAAGTTGGGTCAGTTGAATCACAATTTTAAAATGAGGGTTTCTGATCTAATTGCAATTAGAACTGTCTGCTATGGTCAGGAATGGTATTAAAAATCTCCGCAGAACAGTAGATTCCATAGATGAGTTTCTCAGTTGGCAATGGCTTAGATCCCTGGAGTATTTCCACGGACAGAGGACCTTTAGGGCAAGATTCTGGAGGGCATTTCAGGCAGTCATGGTAGGGGAATAGGCAAAGAAAGTTGCGTTCTGTGAATACTTCCACCTATGGAAATACTCCAGAAGATTTAAGCCCTAAAAAGGAACCTTATAATTTCCAGATCATGACTTATGTCCATTTGGAAGGAAAGGGCTGCAGTTTATACACATATGCATTCTTTCTAACTTGTGTGATATGCATGAGTTTTGTTCTTTGTTGGTAGAACTCAATTTTTGGGAAGTGTCTTCTGGGAAGTAGCACTTATTCAGACCTGACCTCTCTGCATTGCTTTTTTTAAAATGTATTTGTTCAGTAGCCTAGTCAGCCCTATCCTGGTGGGTCACAGAAGATAATAATAATGTAGCCCCGTAATTGTCTCTGTGACTGTTTTGGAATGTTTGCTTTGATTTAGGACTTTATTATCCAGTGTGTTAAGCTTTGAGAAAGTATACACATCAGCTTCCTTGATGGAATGTGTAAAAATAATGACAAACAGTAAACTGTTCACCTGTTGCAGTTTATACACTGCACTCCTATAAAAGAAATGGTAATCTCTAAAGATTTTCTTTTATTACCCCACCTGATAAAGAAGAGAAGGTTAGTTTAAGTTGCTAGGTGGAAACAGACATACTATGAACTTTTATTTGCATGTTTTCTTTGTCAAATGTAGGTACAGCCTTGTGGTTCAATGTCTTTAAAAGTCAGATGTATCTCAACTCTGCTGTCCATATCAATATGCTTTAAACATAAATAGATACTGGTCAGCATATCAGAGATATCATTGTAGTTACATACAAGCCAAACTAGCTTAGAAATGAATTAGGGGGTCGCATGGCCTATATTTTTTAAATGCATAAATTGTCTAGACAGTGGCAGGATAACAGGTGCTGATCAAGGAAAATAAAGTACAGACTAGGCATCTACAATGTACAAATCCCTCATACTCATCCTTACCACAGATTGTGTGTCTACCAGTGCACTCCTGTGCATGTTTAATCAGAAGTGAACATTTTATTTAGTGCAGAAGTAAACATTTTTTGGTGGGACTTATTCCCAGGAAGGAGTTCCTAAAACTGCAGATTAAGGAATGCTCACTTGCCGGGTTTATGTGTGTCTTTGACCTTATTTTCTGTTTAATCAAATAATTAATTGCTAAGTGATTAATTAGCCTCTTTGTAAGGGTAATGAACTTGGCTGGTCAGATTGATCCACTCATATGTCAAAATATTTCTTACTTCCTCTTCTTTATTTTGTGGCTCTCTTTTCAAGAGTCATAGATTTCCCTGGACTCTCACATATAGGAATACCTGTTCATTAGAATGTTTTGTGATGTTGAGTGAAAACTCCAGTGTAAATGTATATGTTCAAGAGATTAGCCAAGTGATTTTTATTTTAAAAACTGCTAGCGTGCAATTATAAACATGTCCTGTTATCACTGGAACTTTCTGATCAACATTCTTCTGTCACTTTGACTAAGAAGTTTACAAGGCAATTTGGGTGTATTTCTATGCTTCTAGTGATGAGGTGTTAAAAGAAATTGGTTAAACAAACATGAGTCAGAATCAGAGGAAATTGTAAACCTATAGAGTATGAAGTTCCCATGATGCCACATAGATTTCATTTCCCATCTCAAGTATTTGTTTCCCAAAGAAGCAGGTAAAATAAGTCAAAGTACTTCACAGCAAGGAGCTGCGGTGGCTCAAGTGGTTAAGACGCTGAACTGCAGGCTGTGGAAGGTCGGTAGTTCAGCAGTTCGAGACCTGAGTTGCCGCATGACGGAGTGAGCTCCCATCTCTAGTTCCAGCTCCTGCCAACCTAGCAGTTCGAAAGCAAGAAATTGCAAGTAGATAAATAGGTACCACTTCAGTGGGATGGTAACAGCGTTCCATGTGCCTTGGTGTTTAGTCATGCCGGCCACATGACCACAGAAATGTCTTCGGACAACGCTGGCTCTTCGGCTTTGAAACAGAGATGAGCACCGCAACCCTAGAGTCGGATTCGATTGGCTTTCGAGCAAGGGAACCTTTACCTTTACTTCACTGTATGAGTGTTGCTTATCTAGCCCTCTTTGGGATAGAGCAAAATAAAATCTTGCTGTTCAGAACAGGAACATCTCATAAATCATTATTTAAAGCACTGGTTCCACATTTAATGTGAAGGAAAAATTAAAAGTGTCTTAAAGTGAGCAATGATAGATGGATAAGTGTTACAATACAAGAAAGGCAAGTGTGACCAAATAGCTTCACTTAAGAAAAATGGAATGAAAGTTGCAACTATCTCCAAAGTGTTGTAATCAGCAAAATCTGAGCAATAAACTGGACTCAGGAAATTACTTCTCAAGTATGAAAACCATTTTAATCATATCACAAAGTAATATTTTGACATTGTTGATTTTTTTATGTCATTAAGTTGCTTTCTGTCTGCCAGCATTTTGAAGAAGACATACAACATCAATTCCAGTAACATTAACATGTAAAGTACTGGCTCTGTTTGAAAATTCATTGAGCTAAGTTTGTTTAATATCAGTCAGTTCTCTATAACATTCAGAACTAAATGGTTGATAAAATGTATTTGAATAATATATATTAAATAATTGATGAAATAAAAATCAGAGCACTGTAAATCATGACTGTACACCAAAATAATATACTGTGTTTATTCTGCAGGTGGGTGGCTTATGAAAATCCTGACTTCACAGGAGAGCAGTACATACTTGATAAAGGAATGTACCCCAACTACGAGACTTGGGGAGGTAGAAGTTGTAAGATATCTTCAGTTCAACCCATAGTTTTGGTAAGGAAGCCTTTTGTATGGTTATATTTATCTTTTTTCCCAAGCCTGATTAAAATAATAATAATAATAATCATCATCATCATCATCATCTTTCAATTTATTAATCGCTCAATCCTGCAGAGCTGCTGGCTCTGAGCGATTTACAGTTACTCAAATACACACGGGACTAACAATGATTCAAAGGGGTAAGGTAACATTTTATTTTATCAATCATTTACACGTCATATTTATTTCTTATTTGTTCTTAATTCCCTTTATGTTTTAGGATACCACCAGTGATTGTATGGGAAAATTTAAGGTAAAACGTCTAAGATTTTATGTAACAAATATAGTGTGTAAGCTAAATAAACAGTTGTGAGTATGGTAGTATAGATGAGCAAGTGTATGTGGGACAGTCAGCATGATACACAAAGTATGTAGCTGCTGGCCAGGAAAATGCAATACACCAGATATTTTCTATCTCATTTTCTGTGATCTGTAAGACAAAATGCATAGCTAACTTCACTCTAGACCTTCAAATGCAGGACCAGTTACTTTTCAGAAGATGTTCAGACTTTGGATTTATCATATCTCTAAAAGAAAATTTCCAAAGTATGAAGCATATTCTGAGAATGTTTCTATACATGACATCATCATATAGCTATAGTACATCTGTGGAAAAGAAGAACTGACAGGCAGGTAAATTCCAATGCTGGGTCATCTTAGAGTCATAGAACCACAGAACTGGAAGGGGCCATACAGGCCATCTAGTCCAACCCCCTGCTCAATGCAGGATCAGCCTATGGCATCCCTGACAAGTCTGTTTAAAGACTGCCAGTGAGAAGGAACTCATCACCTCCCTAGGCGGCTGATTCCACTGTTGCACAACTCTTACTGTAAAAAAGTTTTTCCTAAAATCCAGCCGGTACCTTCCTGCCTTTAATTTAAGCCCATTATTGTGAGTCCTATCCTCTGCTGCCAACAGGAACAGCTCCCTGCCCTCCACTAAGTGACAGCCCTTCAAATACTTAAAGAGAGCAATCATGTCCCCCCTCAACCTCCTCTTCTCCAAACTGAACATTTCCTCATAGGGCTTGGTCGCCAAAAATGGTTTAGAACGTTTTACTTAGTATGTAGTGTCATATTTTAAAATATAAGATGCTTATAATTTTTAAACTTACATATATTTTTTTCTGTTTAAAGAAGTGTTTGCATGTCTTCTTCAATATAAAAGTGATCTTAGATTTATCTGGTGAATAGCTGATAATTTGGGGGACGGGTGTAGCGAATTTAGTGGTAAATGTTTTTGTCCTTTATCTCTAAAGGTCCAGATATTTTCAGAACCAGAGTTCCAGGGTAAAAGTCAAGTATTTGATAAAGACGCATCTCAGATTGATGACTCGTTTCCTGCCAGGTCTTCAAAGGTGTTATCTGGCAGGTGAGTACGAAGCTGCATTGTTAAAAGTATTCAGTCCAACAGTTAACCTTATAGAAGCAATCTTCTAAGTGAAAAGTATAAACATATCATCTGGACCCCACTGAATGGGCTTTTGGGGTTTTTTTGGTATTTCAAATTATCCAACAGTTTAATCATTAACACAACATTGTTGTCATTATGAGCATTAATACTACAATACAATGTTCTGATTTAAACTGCAAACAATGTAAACAGCTCAACTCTTCAGACTTCAGGTATGATGGGGGAAAGGTGCGGCTGAAGTGCGGCTTTTTTGAGCCGCATCAAAAGAGAAGCACGGCGGCGGGATCAGACAGATCCACTGAGCCGCCACGCAGTTGCTCCCCGGCATGATCAGATGTCAGGGGAAGCCACAGATTGATGAGCGAGGCGAGCCCACTGCGCATGCGTGCGCAGTTCTACAGGGCCTCCATATGCTGCAGGGAGACGGGCGCGTTGGTGATCAGACGCCAGCCTGTGCTGCGCATCAACAGGTAGGTAGTACTCTTGGTGCTACCTTTTTGCGGTGGGTTTTCGGCTGGAAGGGACGGATTGGGGACAGTTGCGCGCCACTACCCAGATGTTGCAGTATGATCACACCTGCTTGATGTGCCCCCGATCCGTTCCTCCTGCGGGGCAAATCCTCCTGTGTGACCGGGGCCTATCACTGCATTCATACATACGTCAGTTACTTTTGAGACTTGCTGTGGTAGGTGACTATATCATCACTGCCGTACCCGTCACATGGTTCTAAAATACAGGTAATTGCAGGAATAGTATGTATGCAACACTGACCTGGCCTTTACACTACTACTTTCATAGCATAATCCTGAACTGTTGCACTTCTAAGCCCACTGTTTCCAGCAGATTTAGAAGGCTGTAGCTGCTTACGGATGAACAATGTGATCCAGGTCTTGCAGAAACAATTGTCAATAACAGGGGCAAGATTATATTCCTTAAAATAATCCCATGTAGCTGAAACTCTAAGCTATTGATGTTGATGCATACGCCCCTCTGAGGCCACTGGTTGTTGAACTTGACCAGAAGTGGGCTGGGGCTTGCAATTTAATTTACACTGCAGTTTAAGGGGGGGTAACTAGGTTGAAACAAGCAGACATGCTGAAGCAGCAAAATGAGGCTCACAGTGCCATGAATGTACCTGAGGCTCACATTCTAAGGTATGGGTAGTTACAGCAGTGCATTAAATACTGTTCATGTGCGACTAGTTAACTGCTGCCGCTTCCCTTCCTTCTGTGAGGGAATGTGGTACCCTATAACTGGTTGTGTGAGACAGACTGCTTCTATCTCAGGCACTTGGCTGCAAGATGTCCTCAGCAAGTAAAGGATGGAAAAGAGCTGGTAGGGAGAAGGTAAGCAAGTGGGAAAGAAAGCTCCTTCTGCTGCCACTGCTGCTAGGAAAGAAATTCCCTGTACAGGGTGCCTGAAGTGGCACAATCTTCTCTTCTCTAAGGCAACCCACCAGCTGGCACCCTGTGCTCCAATAGAAAGAGGTGATGAAGAGGTACAAGCAATGCAGTAGCCAGTCAGTGGCTGTAGCATAGGCCAGCATTTAGTTCTTTGCTGTGCTACAGCCACATGTGCATTAAAGAGTGAGCCTAGAATGCTTTGAGCCTCCTTTGATGTATGTGTATATACAGTCTGAAAGCACACTGTGTGCCTTGGAAATGAATACTTTGGAATAAAATACATGTGTGTTCAGCAGTGCCATCCCAAGCAGAGTTACACCGCCTAAGCCCATTGACCTCAATGAACTAAGAAGGGTGTAACTCTGCTAAGGAATGTCATGTAAATTACTTCAAGCACATTTGAAAGTAAACTCTGTCTTCTTGAATAAACTAAATGGAAGAAAATATTTTACATACTCTAGGTTTTGAATTGACTCTAAAACATCAAAGTGATCTCACCAACCATTATTAAGGGACCATTCTGTCAGCAGGCTTTAAAACCACGTTCTCCTGTGCTCCTGTTTAGGAAGAACCTATTCAGATTTTTTTTCCCTTTCATGCTGACATTTCTTGATTCCAAGCAGGAATTTTTACATCCTCATTTTCTTCATTTTTTTGTAGTTGGATTGCATATGACAAGGAAGATTTTTCTGGTAATCAGTATGTGTTAGAAGAAGGCGCCTATCCTGATCTGCCTGCAATGGGTTGCCTACCCCAAACTTGCTTGAAGTCTTTACAAGTCATAAATATTGTAAGTTTTAGAAATATTTGAATAAGCAAATGAAGTAGGAAAGCTTGACTTGCTCACCAATATAAGTTCTAGGAATAAACAAAATATAAAGGTGGTCTGACATAACTTTAGCTGAAAGAAGTATATATGTAGCACTGTGAAATTGGCACCTATTACTGCACAACAATTTTTGTAGATTGTATTTTTAGATATCAATAAAATCTCATTTAAATAGTTACAATAGCTAAACACGGCCTTTTTTGTGATTCCTGAAAGATAGGGCTTCAAGCTTTAATTAATTGAATTAAAAGACTCAAGTTCTAAAGCTTCAACCATAGTTTAAATTTTGAACCAAATTAGATAGTGGAAAAGCAGCAGAGAGATAAAACTAAGTGGCTGTGAACAGCCATTAATAAAGATATGTTTGGAAAAGACAAATACCTTGCTTTCTGAAACATTTTGCACCCTTCTTCGTAAGTGAAAATTCAGGGCAACCCTTACAACACATGTTGTAACACACTCACAGTAAGATATTCCTTTGTTCTCCAACAGTGAAGACTCAAAGACCAGTCCGATGCACTATTCTTCATTTATAAAAAAAAGTATACAGATTTGGGCATCTCAGAATCATTCCTGAAGCAAAAGATTTGTGTTTAGCAATATGATCGCTATTAGCCCGAGCTGCAAAATCAGCACTGCTGGATTATTTCTGTCTGTTGACAACACAGATGAATGGCAAGGCACCAGCTCTTCCATTGGTCAGGCTTCATATAAGTCCCACTAAATGGCACATCTGATATCCAGGGGTCTTGTTGTAGAAAAAGAGCTGCCGGAGCTCATTAGCATAACTCATTAGCATAACTTATTTGCATATGCCACGCCCCCTGACATCACCGGAAGTGACAGAAGGCCACACCCCCTGACATCACCGGAAGTGTGTCAGAAGGCCCGGCTACTTACCCTCCTGCTTCATCCTCATTCCCAAACGGAATGAGGATCGAAGCAGAGGGCGGGGTAAAGAAGGGGGCGGGGCTTCACCACATGACCGCCCCGCCCCCTAGAGGTTCTCTTCCGGAGCTCCGTACCTGAGAGCTCCCCCCCGACTAGAGCCCTGCTGATATCTAATGCTATAATCTAGAAACTACACATGAAAAGCTAATTGAAGCATCTTGGAGATTAGTAGAGCATATAGAAAGCAAGCCTACTTTATTCACTTTTACAGCTATGCATGATTTTTTTAAAACAGAAGACAACTGCAGAGACTGAAAAATTCTGTCCTGCACAATCCAGACTTCTGGAGTACTACAGCCTGTGCTTGGGTGAAGCTGAGAAGAGCAGGTTGTGCAATATACAAGACTGGCTTCTTGTATTAGGCTTGGGCTTTCCCATAGGAAAAAGCACATACTTCCCCCCCAGGAACTTCCAAGTACTCCTACATTTGTGCTACATGATCCAGTTGGGCTTGTAGTAACTTTCTGATGGCTGAAGACGCCCTTCATGTATCATAACATGAACATTGCAAAACAACTCCTGTAGGAGCTCCGGATTAGTATGTTAATTCATCATTCTTTGATTTCAGTCCTAAAATTCATGTTTTGCATGGAATACATAGAATAAGAATACAAATGTAAAATATAAGCTCAAGAATGCCAGATTTTTAAGAATTCTAAGTGGTTAAAGAATTATTGGTTTGAAAATTCATTAGCACGCCTGTTTATCCAGATAGCTGTAGGGGAAGTTCTGCAATTATAGCTGTTGCTGAGTCATGAAAATACCAGCAAAGAATGGAAGGTGTGGTTGTAAGTAATCGCCTTATTCTCCTTCCAGTTTTCATCCCACACCTTGAATAATTTTTTCATGAGTAATCTATCTAACTAGTCCTGTAACAGTGGACATTTTTCATTTCTCTGAATTCATCAGCTAAAGCAATTTTGCAAGTGCTGTGTTTGTTCTTGGGGGGCTGAAAAATAGTGCTTTTGGTAGAGGGGATAGTGGTGGTGTACTAATTAAGAACTATTATCCACTGTCCAGGAATTGCTTCATGTACACCCTTCAACTGATGTAAAATGAGATCCTTTATTTTAAAACAGGAACTTTCTGAGCCAGTCATAGCCCTTTTTGAAAAGGAAAACTTCAAGGGGAAGAAAATAGAATTTACTACTGAAATTGTAAACCTCAAGTTTCTTGGCTACAATCCTCATATAGCTTCAGTACATGTTCTTGGTGGCGTGTAAGTTAACTTTTGAACATCAGGATTTGTTTTTGTAGACTTTAAGTAACCATTAAGTGATATTTACTAAGTTACTATCAGTTTGCATAAGGGGAACTGAGCCTGAAAAATAGTGACATTAGAGGCCATGGAGTGAGACTTGAGATTTAAGGAGAATTTATAAGGCTGTTAGAAATGAGAGTCTTTTTTCATTACTGGGGCTAATAGCTTTGGTATGGGGTGGGGAGCCTGAGTTTACTGAAGGTGATAGTCTTGTATTCAGCTTAATTGGCTTATTTGTTCTTCCTGCTTATAGCCTTGTTGTCAGTGGAGATTGTTGGTTTTGCCATCCCTGGCAATCTGTCTGAATACAGGTTAAATCTACAATGCATGCAGTTTAGTTTTCATCTGAACTATAGTTCTGAAGATTTTAAATGTTTAAAATTGTTCACTGTCTTAATAGCTAAAGTCAGTCTGAACTGCGGTTTGTCATTGTCCTACCTTGTGGACAGTAATTGTAAGTGTACAGTACTAAACTGTGTTTTTTAAAAACAGTTTTTCAGAAAACCAATTTGAAGTCTCCAAAATCTGTTCTGGTACTTTGGTGCTTAAGCATCATATAAAGCTCTACCCACTCCTGAAATATGTTTATTTGTACAAACTATAAGGCAGTGTGCAGGGTCAGTTCTTAACTGTAATTTAGATATTTAGCCAAGGCTTAATCATGGTCAAGGAATATATATGCACTGTGTTTTTATTTGAAGAGCTTGGGGGCATTAATGCTGTGAATGAATATATTAGACAATTAGTATAACCCTTCACAGGGCTAAGAAGCTGAGGGCAGGCTCAGTTCTCACCTTTTCCTATGGCACTACTATACTATTGCAAGCCCTTTTAAAGTATTACAATGGCCTTATTGTGCCAAAAGTACACTAGTGTTCAGTATGATCTTTCTATAGGTCTTCCAACCTAGATGTTCATACTCAGAAGCACTTATCTATGATTTATGTAATAACATACTTAAGATTGCAGCCTTATTGAATATATAACTTCTATGTATTGGTATTGCTGCAAACATTTTTAAAAATGATTTTGATTGCCTTACCTCATATCCATTATTCTATAGAAATAATATATACATATATGTTTTACTATCAGGTGGATTACTTATGAACATAATAATTACAGTGGTCGGCAAATTTTATTAAAACCTCAAAAAATACCAAACTGGCATGCATTAAGTGGCTACCACAAAATAGGTTCGCTGCGACCTTTACTACAGGTAAGAACTATAGCCCACTCAGAAATGGGAAAACATGAGTATATGTTCCATAACTGTCCTGATCAGCTTGCTTTATATTTATTTTTTGTTCTGGTATTTGATGAGAGTATAGTTTTTATGAAATCGCATAGTACAAACACCAATCTCCTTGCAAAAAGAAAATTAGATCTATAAGGCTTGGTTACCTGCATTGTACCTATTAGAGCCAATTAATAATTCTGCCTCTTCAAGATGTGTGTGTGTGTGTGTATTTGAGCTGAATTTACATTGCTTCCTAAATGGCATAATTAAATTGCACAGTTTAGAAGCACCTGTATTCTAATATTTATGGCACATAGGTGATCTTGTGATGCAGGTTGAATGGAGGTAAAACAAGCAGGGGCATCTTTTCATTTCTCATTTGTAACTCTTTGTAGCTTTGTTTTTCTCCTTTATAAATTTCAGACATTTTTACCAATAAAGTATCTTAAATAGCAACAGCTGTTTACTTATCTACCTCCACCAGACAAGTTAATCAGTTTTTAACACACTTTTGTCTGAATTTACCTACATCTTTGGTATGAAGGGTTGCTTCATCTCTTACCTACCAGTCTTCATACATGGCATCACCTACTCATAGGAAAACACGTTTGCCATGTTTAGACCATCATAAACAATTACATGATGATGTACACTCTTTTCCTGCATAGAAATGTCATGCAAGTGACTGAGTTTAAGGTGCATGTAAACAATGGTAGAGTGCTGATGCTTGAAAATATTACACTGTAGTTCTTCTAAAGCACAATACGGCACAATGCTTGCAGATTTTATGATGCATGAGTTCTGGTTTTTTCACAGAAACGAGTATACTTCAAACTTTGCAACAAAGAAACAAGACAGTTCATATCAACTGATGGAAATGTAGATGACTTGAACCTTTTGAGAATGCAGGTTGCAGAAGATAATAAATCTGATGAGCAAGTCTGGGTTTACCAAGGAGGATATCTCAAATGCAGGGTAAACTTTTATATTAAACATTTTTTGCCTCATGTAAGGGATGCAGTTCCCCACATAAGAAAAGCACAAACTCAAGCATAAGCCCTGCTTAACACAAAAGTCACTTCAAAGTTGTACTGTTAATGTAACCAATTTTTGCTTCCCATTACCATGGTTAAATCCATTTATTCTGTCAGGCTGGAATGTCAGCTTTAACTGTTGAAATAGATTGACCAAGGATTTTTCATTTTACAATATTCTACCTTTATAATAGGAGCTGCGGTGGCTCAAGTGGTTAAGACGCTGAACTGCAGGCTGTGGAAGGTCAGTAGTTCAGCGGTTCAAGACCCGGGTGCCGCAAGACAGGGTGAGCTCCTGTCTCTAGTTCCAGCTCCTGCCAACCTAGCAGTTCGAAAGCAAGAAATTGCAAGTAGATAAATAGGGACCACTTCGGTGGGAAGGTAACAGCGTTCCGGTCGCCTTGGTGTTTAGTCATGCCGGCCACATGACCACGAAAACATCTTTGGACAGTGCTGGCTCTTCGGCTTTGAAACGGAGATGAGCACCGCAACCCTAGAGTCGGATTCGACTGGCTTTCGAGCAAGGGAACCTTTACCTTTACCTTTATAATGATTGAAAATTATTTTAGTTATAAATTCAAGATGGTTTAATCCATCTGTCTAAAATCTAAGCACAGAGAATGCATCTGGAGCATGATGCAAGCTAGACTTCCAGAAAGTTTCAAAAGAAAATCTTTAGAATGGCAGAGACGCAATATGGTCGTTTGCCTTAAACAATATGGTCGTTTGCCTTAAACCACATGGATTTCTTTCATCATTTCGGCATCTCTAGTTGTGGGGGGGTTTAGTTGTTGTGTTGTTTCCACACAACACCCTCCATTCCTGCATAAATCATGGACAGCCCATTTCCCCCCACTTTTTGAAACCTTTTTTTAAAAAACCAATTTCCTGGCTTAGCATTGTTGAGACAATCTTTTTCATGTATCTAGAAGGGAATGTACCTTATGCTTGAATGAAAGGGATCACCCTTTTCCTTTGCATTTTCAGTTTACTGTCTTGATGTTGTTGCTAACACTAACAAAATAGAAAAAAAAAATTAATTGGGAAGGGTCAGGACAATGTTGTAGCAGCATGCCCATGTTAACATTACAAAACCACACTCTCAAGTTGGACATGCACTGCAATTCTGTCTGTAGGCATCTCTAATATGCTTCGTGTCAGTCCTTCATGCATATTTCACCACATATTGTAGTGTTATAATTTTGGAGGAACAGATATCATAGAACAGCTCAGTTACACAATAACATGACACATTATCAATGTTTTCCTTTAATATAGGGGAAATTTCCACTCGTAACTGCAGGGAACAGGGACATGATAAGATCCATATAAATTTATATAAAAGGTTTTGATTTTTAAACAATTTATTTTGCCACCCACTCCCTCAGATAGAGAACTCATGCAGTTCCATGATTATTCTCTTTTTTAAAAGTATATTCTAAAATCAGTTTTTAGATTATTTTAATGTGTAAAGTGTGGCTATACGTGGTATTTAGACTTTAAAAAAGCTGACAAACTACTTCTTCCTTTCTTTTTAAATGTGAAACAGACCAGTGCTTAAGTCTATACGAGTTCTTAAACTATTTCTGTTTTGTTAAACAATATGGTCGTTTTTGCTCTAATCATTTGCATAATCATTTATCTCAATTAGTCCAGTTTATATTCAGTGAAAATAAAAACAGCTAAGTTTCCTAACAGATTTTAAAGGACCACTATTGAACAATAAATTTTCCCATTTGTTAATAGATCACACTAATCTCCATAGTTGTATCTTGAAGCTATGCTCAAGCCTCCATTTCCTACATGGCATTGGAATCGTATTTACTGTATCTTTTACAGTAAAATGTTGCAATTTTTCAATCAATTTAGATATCTATTTCCTAACTTAAGGCTTGCTACACTAGTATCTGCAAGAGTAGCCTAGCAGGCCAGTCCTAAACACTTCCCTTACACAGGTAAATCCTATTGAGTTACATTCTTCTCTGATCAAAGTGTTTGGGTTTCCTTTTGAGCTCTAACATCAAATGAAGATAATACAACATGAAGTTTACTTTTAAAAAGTTGTATAACATAATTAACAGCATTCTGCCAAAGGGAGACATTTTTCAACTTCACCAGCCGCTCTCTGCTGGAGAGGAATATTTTCTGCCTTTCAGTAAGCCAAGAGCATGTTTGGACATGGACAGATCCAAAGCTCTTAACTTACAACAGGCTGCAAAAAGTGGAGGTGTTGATTTTAATGCCCCAACTCAAAAATATAATTAAAACTATTGAAAAGCTCACATACGGCAACATTCACATGGTGTCACCACATGGTTTTTGTTCTTTTAAACAAAGGCAGGTGCATTCTTGCAACTCAGGACAAAGCACTGTTCAGTAGCAGAGATAGTTCTTTTTGCTTGAAGAAGGCCCTGAGTCGAATCCCTAGTATCTCTTGTTAAAAGAATCTCAAACAAGTAGGGCTGAAAAAACCCTGCACATGAGATGCCAATGGAGCACTGCTAGTCAAAGCAGACTGTATTGGGTTAGATGGGCTTAACCTTTTGACTATATGAAGGCCCCTGCCACACGGCAGGGGAAAAGCCGCCAAAAAGCGTGGCTTTTAAAAGCCACGCCAAAGTTGAAACGGCGCAGCGGGATCCCACGGATCCCCTGGCCGCGCCGCCTTTTCTCCCCGGCACGATCAGATGCCGGGGAGAAAACACGGCCCTGACGGGGAGCCTGCCGAACTGCGCATGTCCGAGCATGCGCAGTTTGGCTAGGCGCCAGGGATGCGCCGGTGCAAGGACGTGCCGGCGATCAAACGGCCCGGCTTGCCGCGCCGCTTCCCGATGAACCACCAAGGTAGGTGGTTGCAAGTTGGGGCGGATTTTCGCAGGGAAGGGCCAGTTCGGGGACGGAAGCACAAAGCTTCCCAGATGTTGTGGTGTGATCGCGCCGGTTTTCTCCGCCCCCGAACTGTCCCGCTCCCGGCCCAAATCGCCAACAGGACCGAAGTCTGGCAAGATAACCTGTACATCCCGTTATGTGGTGGAATACTGTAAAGAAACTTCAGTACTGAAACCACATTGAATAATGAAACACCGTAATTAAATGATGCTCCTGGAGCTGCAACAAGTATTTTGAACCTGGAGGAATACTACTGGAGTCCCTTACCTTGAAAATCAGTTGGTATAGTAAAACTACTGAGAGAAAAATATCGATAATCTTGTCCATGCATAGGCATTAATAACTAGCACAGCAGTAAGAGGAAGCCTCTTTTGACTGACATTTGGTTTAATTACACAGATGGCAGAGGACTTCTGCTTGACAATCGTAGGAAGTCTGATCACTCCTGGTGCAAAACTGGGCCTAGCACTTCAACAGAATGAGGAAAAGCAACAGTGGAATATTAATCCAGATGGAAGAATCTACAGCAAGATAAAACCAAATTTAGTGCTAGACATTAAAGGTAAGAACTTCTTGGCAGGAATATATTAACATCTGTGATGCTTACTAAGAAAGATCTTCCATAGGACATAGTAGGATGTAAGACCAGGTGGCCACTCAGCTGCAGTTGTAATTTTCTGCAGTGCAGACAGGCATACCTATCTGCAACACATATGGAAGGGGTCTGTGTGTAAGACACTCTCCAGATTTCATGCACTGTAGGTATATGTCATTTTTGAGTGGAAAAAGGGCAATAAGAAATACTTACCACTTTGTATATGTTTTCTGAGTGCAGTAGACCAGTGTTAAGTAGACCAGTGATATTCCCATATCATAAATGGGATGCTGCTCACACAACAATTATTGGTTTTATCATCATTAACAAAGTAGTAAATCACAATTATTACCAAAAATTTGCAGTGAACTCTATATATTACCTGTATTATTCATCAGTTATTATCATGTCTAAAACTTATTCAGAAAACAATTCATTCTAATATCAGGAGGAAATACCTTTATTTTAAGGGTAAAAATACTAAAAAAAGCATTAATCAGGATCTTGATGCACGTGAGCTTGTGATTCATAACATATGCAATTATGCCCTCTTGAGGATAGAGTTAATTAATGCAATCCTAAACAGAGTTAACGTCTATTGAAGCAGTTATGTCCATTGAAGATAATGAGCTTAGAAGGATGTAACTCTGTTTAGGATTACACTATCAATTAATGTTTATGGTACTGATACCTATAACACAAAATATAAAAATTTCATTCCATGCACTGAAACACTATTGAAATTTACTGAAGTGTGAACACTTAAAAAATCAGGAACAATCTAGCTAAAGTTAGTAATGACAAGGGGGGACCCGCGATACTCGCGGGGGGGAGGGCAGTCTCTCTCTTTCCCCCGTTCTCTCTCTTCCCCCCATCTCTCTCTCTCTCTCTGTCTCTCTCTCCCCCTTCTCTCTTCCCCCCCAGTGTCTCCCCCCTTCTCTCTCTTCCCCCCCAGTTTATCTCTCTCTCCCCCCCCTCTCTTCCCCCTCAGTCTCTCTCTCTCTCCCCCCCGGCTCTCTCTCCCCCCTCTCTCTTCGCCCCACAGTCTCTCTCTCCCCCCCTTCTTTCTCTTCGCCCCACAGTCTCTCTGCGAGGCTCCTTAGCAGCAGCGGCACTTTCGGGGAGATTTAAACATCCCCCTGAAATTTTTGGCTCCTTAGGCTCCCTCGCCACTCGCCCCCCCTCGCTGCTCGCCGCTTCCCTTTCAAGCAGCAGCGGCGGCAGCCTCAATTGCCAAGCGTTCCGTGCGCATGCGCATGGAACGGTCTTGCACTTTCGGGGGGATTTAAACATCCCCCCGAAATTTTTTTCAAGGTTTAGCATTTTTGTGCACACGTGGGGACTGGCCCACGTGTGCACAAACCTCCCCTCCCCCCCAAGTGCCCCCAGAGCGCTGATTTAGCGATCCGCACTCACGGGACCAACTTGGCTATTAGATATATAGATTAAAAGCAGTGACAGTAGGTGAGATGAATGTGATTTAGACTGTGAAAAACTGAGCTCAAGTAATTTTTATATAGCCCCGGGATTCCAATTATATCTGCAGAGTCTAAAACACGGTGACCCAATCCAATTTAAGTTTGTTGTAACTAAATTACAAAGAATCATGTTTATCTCAGTTACCAAGTCCCATTGCTTTTAATAATGACTAATGGAGTGCCTGACTGCAAAAAAATATGGCATTTTAAAAATGAGATATAGGAAAGTTCTGCACAATTGAAGGGTCGGAATCATACCCAAAACATTTCAGTATTTTCACATGTGTTAAGACAACTGATTTCTCATCTGTATGTGTCCCAAGTGGGCAAACTAACCATGCAGTCTTCTGCAGAGGTACTAATTGACTTCAATGGCAGTCAAAAAAGGGGTAAGGGGGAATACAGCCCAGGTGGTCCATTCCTTCCTAATAGCACAGTTGTGACTTTATACAGTGCTTGGGAGGACTTTGCTTTGTCCTTACTCCACAACCAATTTGTTAAGGTTTACGGCCCTTGGCTTGTCTATATTTGTTTGATAATTTGCACACTGTGTTTCCCCCTTGTTTTGTCTGTGTATATAATCCACAGATACAGAATGCAAGATTTATTAAAATATATACAAGCAGTGAGGCAGCAAGTTTTGGTGGCTAGGGAAGCATCAGAAACATATTAACATGGTTCTGTAACATAGGTCTGTTGTGTTAAATGTTTGATGCTCCCTTATTGCCCCATCAACTTGTTGCCTTACTGCTTATATAAAGTAATGCTTGAATGTTGAGGTGTGGATAGTCTGGACTTCAATACTGAAAATTATACATGAAATTATCATATTCCTCAGGATCCAAAATTAATTTTATTACACTATCTTAAATATGTGTTAACTTCTGCACAAATATGTATTGCGTTTTATTGGAAACATAGATACACCTACAATTTCTCATTGGCCATATAGAGTGTGAAAGACAGCATACTTGACTCAATTAAAATATTATAAATTGCCTTTACACAATAACTCTTTATTTGAACAACAGACTTTCTTCTTTTAAAATGTTCTGGAACTACTAACACAAGGAGGTATCTGACCTTATGTTTTCTTTGTACTGTTACAGAAAAATTGTATGTAATTGTTATTTCTAACATTTAACATAATCTTGTATCATAAATGCTACACTATAATTTTTAAAATTTCATTTTAGGGGGAACACACTATGATCAAAATCACCTAATTGTCAGCTCAGTTAGTGAAGACAAAGCAACACAATGCTGGGAACCGCTTGTTGTGTAAAAATAATTCTGCTTCAAAGGGAAGAATTAAGAATCAGACCCATCCAGAGCAATATACATGAAGAGTGGCAGAAGAGAAGACACTGGTGTATTCCTGTCACTGATTTTAAGGAGAAAAATATATAATTTAACATGCCACCTTCACCACTGCGAAGTGTTTTTGTGTACCTGGCTAGAAGTTTTAAAAAAAAAAAGCTCTAAAGAAGCACTCATTCCTTTTTCCAAGTAAAATTCTGTCAGCGCAATTATTTCAAAGCAGGATTAAATTATTAATCCGGAGTATATTTTAATGTGCAGTTTTAAATTATTTCTGAAGTTTGTTTTAATCTCCTAGTGCTGTATGCTCCCCAGTGTATATTCTACTTGCACAAAAAATGAACTGTTTACTATGTTGTCAAGGACTTTCACGGCCAGAATTCATTAGTTGCTGTATATTTTCTGGGTTGTGTGGCCATGGTCTTGGCATTGTAGAACCTGATGTTTTGCCAGTAACTGTAACTGACATCCTCAGAGGTATAACAGAGAAGGTGTCAAGGTGAGATCTTCTCACCTCTGAGGATGCCAGTCACAGTTACTGGCGAAACGTCAGGTTCTACAATGCCAAGACCACGGCCACACAACCCGGAAAATCTACAGCAACTAATGAACTGTTTACTCTTTAAAATTATCTAGATCATATTAGGTGATTATTTGTACAAAATTTCTACAGTACACTCAAATACATTTTAGTAAGGAAAATGTTTTAAAGCTTGTGATTGCAGTTTTACATCACAGGAAATACAAAACCCAGTGAATGTTTGCAAACAAACATATTGGGCTGCTAATTGAAGTTGTTAACCATGAATAATTTGTCCATTACACATCTGCCTGGCTGCCTTACTTTATACAAGTATTAAAGGGGGAAGGGAAAGTATTCCCCTCTTTAGAAAGGGGAAGTACATTTTAAAGTGTTCTTTCTGAATAAATGTGTAAAGAAAATTACCTGATTTTTTAAACTTACTTAGCAACTGTACCACTTGCTATATACTGTTCTATGTGTATAAACTTCTGTGCTTTATAATCTTTTCTACCTGCATTTGCAGATACGTCTGTACATCTGATTCTTCTCTGTTATATCAGTATTATCTACCTTTTTCACTTTTGTTGAGATCCCAGATCCTCCCTGCTTTATATGCACTCACATACTGAAGAAATTTCACTGCTATCCTGGACAGTGAATGTGCTGCGCTGATGCATTTGAAAAAGCATGAGGCATCCAATGCTTTGTGATGGATCTATGCTGAATCCCACAATCCAACTTCTTCCATGAACATCAGCTAATTGATGGTTATTAAACCAGAGATTAACACCCAATGACCCCTGATTATGTGCAGACCCTACTGGAGTAGAGGCATCTTTAGAGATAATCCCAACAATGAACCCCAGTGAAGTGGTAAAATAACTACTGAATCCTAGCTTGATCTTGGGTAGCAGACTCCAGTAAAAGCACACTGTAATGAAGAAGCAATTTCTCTTATGACAGATGCCATAAATCAAGGATCCGTGAGCACAGCATTTTTCAACAGAAAGCAGCAATGCAATATGTGTGTGTATATATAAAACAATTTAAGACTGTTAATGTGATATTGTCACAGCTATCATTTTTTCAGTGTGAAGATTAATATTTCTGCTACCACATTTCTGTATATTAGTTACAAAGCAGACCATTATTACAAACAGCTATTGGTACTCTGAGTGCTCAGTCAGGCTTTCTGAAAAATTATCTATTAGGATTTAATACTTCTTCTGCACTGATCTGTTGTACAAACTCCTGCATTTAATTACCGTATTCCAGACTACGTGAACTATAATCTGGTCATCTCTGTAACAATGTGCTGTTTCTTTACTTGATATAGAAAGTGTTTTCTGTTTCAAGAATTATTTCCTTAATACTAATTTTAAGGTATACTACACTTAAAAAATGTTTTGGTGCCCAAATCATTGTATAAACATGCCTATTTTACAAATAAAAATATTATTCAAAGGAAATCTTATTTTTCTGCGAGTAGGATGAGAATTCTGACAAAATATTTAAGAAGCAGAGGAACAGCAGACTAGCGATGCTATGCATGGTGCAACCATCCTCTCTACAGGCACCATGGGAACACAGCTCATGAAGTGCAGGAAAAAACCTTTTAGCTACCACCAAAAAGCCAGTTCCATTAGCACTTTTTCCCTAGCCTAATATAGAAACTTAATGGAATGACCACTGCTGAGTAGCATATACCAGTATTTACTTTCTCCTCTTTACTCAGTTGTTTCTGTGGCTATTTCAGTGCCCAGCAATTCACACACCGGCATTGTCATTAATGTCTACAGACGTTACCTGCCTGTTCATGGTTCGTTGTCCAGAACTTGGGCAGACTAGCCATTAAGGCCACTGAAAAAGCCCCAGTGAGCCACAGTACGGGGAGCTGCAACAGGCAGCCCTTGCCCTGTGCAGGGCTGCTGACACCGCAAGACAAACAGCCATTTCTCCAAGCCAGGTGGGGAAGAAGGCACAGAGCCAAACTCCTCACAGATTAGATGGGCTAGCATCTCCTTTGCCGCATGTGGCCCCTCTGAACTGTGTCAAAAACAGAGAATGAGGTATGTGACTGAGCTCCATGAAGCTTGGCTGGGCCAGCATCTCCTTCCCTGTATGCAGCCCAGTCAAGCCCTATGCCAAGTAGGGAAGAGGGTGCATGGCTGGGCCACACACAACAAAGAAGACACACTCTTTTCCCCTCCCTATCGCCTCTTGCTGACAGCAGCCATGATATTAAAAGACGCCTGCTCCTTGGGAGGAAAGTGATGCCGAACCTAAACAGCAAGATAAAAAGTAGAGATCACCCTGCCAACAAAAGTCCGCATGGTCAAAGCAATGATATTCCCAGTAGTCATGTATGGCTGCGAGAGTTGGACTATAAGGAAGGCCGAGCGCCGAAGAATAGATTCTTTTGAACTATGGTGCTGGAGAAGACTCTTGAGAGTCCCTTGGACTGCAAGAAGATCAAATCAGTCAATCCTAAAAGAAATCAACCCTGACTGTTCCCTGGAAGGCCAGATAATGAAACTGAAGCTCAAATACTTTGGCCACCAAATGAGAAGGGAGCACTCACTGGAGAAGACCCTGATGCTGGGAAAGATTGAAGGTCAAAGAAGACGGGGACGGCAAATGTTCTCCCCTCTGCTATTCTTGAGGGGAGATATAAGCAAATTCCTTATTCAATCAGGTTCTGTGGTTGTAACAGAAGTGAAATAGAAACTGTTGAGCACGTACTCTTACACTGTAAATTGTTAAATGACATTCGAGTGGAGTGTATAGAAGCCCCCCTTAGGATGGTAGCAGGCCAATCAGATAGAATCAAGGTACAATTTCTCCTTGCTTCACGAGATCTGGAGATCATTGAACTGACCGCTAAGTTTCTCCATTGTTTTATAAAACGGAAGAGTAACCCTGATCATATTAATGATTCTTAATTTATAAGTTTAAAAACTTAAGTTTAAAAGTTTGGAATGCCAGTTTATTTTATGATTCAGGCATCTTTTGTATGGTCAAATCTAACTTGTGACAACTTGAGTTAGGCCTGACATACCCACGACTATCTATTTTATAATTTCTCTTGGATTGTATTATTGGGAAATGTTTTAATATTCTATGCCAATAAAAGGTATTTGAATTTGAAGTGTTGTCTGGGACACCTACGTTCAAAGTCCCCACTCTGCTATGGAAGCTTGCTGGGTGGTGTTACGTCAGGGGCACATCCTCAGCCCCCAAGCTATTTTTTCCTCCTAAACCACCCCTTCCTGGACTCTTACACAAAACATTTGAAAATTAACAAAGATGATAGATCAACTACATACGACTGCAGTCTGATAAGTCCCTCTAGCTCTTAAATTGTTATACAGGTACAGACTACATAAATCTCTCTTGTGTATTCAGACTCAAGAACTTTTCCATGTTTCATCTACAGCAAAATTATTATAAATCCTTCCCCGTCAGACACTCTTATTGCAGTGGCTTAACCCACTGAACACTGAACATTTTGCAACATACCAGAGTTTCAAATAGGAAAGAACTTTTTCAATTCCCAAGTATGAGCTAAAGAAATTTCATATGGATCAGAACAGAGTTTACATTATTTTTTATTAGTTACATTAATCACTGTTTTTCCACGTGCATGTCCTTCTTCCACTTTCAGGAAAGCCTTGGGAACATCAGCAAATGAGAAGACTTGATCAATAACTGGGTGGATCTGTAGGGGAAAAAACAATGTTATCCTGTCTGCTACACAGCACAGCTCATCACAACAGCACAAGCTACACAGCTCATAAACACTAAACATTTTCAGTGCCTTGGCAACTGAACTGCGTCTCAGAAGGGCTATAATTCTCAGTGTTCATGAGTCTGACCTGTGAATGCCAACTCCAGGGCCATTTTAGCACCTGGAAAGGCCACAGGTAGTAGAAAATGAGAGCATCTGGTCCCACCATGCTAGGTGTCAACATCCATAAGTCTGTCCCATAGATACTATAGTGTCTAGCCTGGCACACAATGTAACTGAAGCAAGCTGCAAGTTGTCAGACATCATGGCTTACTTAACTGGAAAGTACAAAAGACCAGACAGATTCTGCCCAAATCAAACACTTGTTTTTCAAATAAATCGAGAGAACCTGTGACTTTTGTTTTGCTGCTGATCTTCGATGTGGTCTCTGTGCTTCACACCCATGGGATCTAGTGCGCACATGCTGGATCGATCAGCATTGTAGCAAGCTCTTAACAGATTTTCATGCCCAGACCTCGGACATGCGCAGGAACCCTACCACGCATGCCCAGAGGGGTGGGCACGGACATCCCGCCAGTTCCTTTCTTACCACCGCGTTGGAAAGACCTTTTCTTCCGCGTTGGAAAGACCTTTTCTTCGTTGGTCCGATCGGTTCTCTTTTTTGGCTATTTGCCTCACGACTCTTCGGATTTTTCCTCAGCTTTCTTCTTTTTTCTTAGCCTTTCTTCGTTTGTTCTTTAAAAACTCCAAAAAAAAGGTTGTTTTTCGTTGAGGGGGAAGTTGCCAGTTTACCTCAGTCTGGCCTTCGGCCTCCCCCCCCCAAAAAAACCCCCTTCTTTCTTCTCCGTTTTTTATTTTTTATGGAGAAGAAGTGGGGCTTTTTCAACCACTGCAAGGGTTGCGCAGTAAACTTGCTCCACCTGGCCGCCACACCCTCTATATTTTTTGTTTGGGGGAATCTCACCGACCTGAGCCTTGTCGGCACTGTGCTAGGTTTTCGAACCAGACAAGAAAAAAACGAGCTGCGCGCCTTAAAGCAGCGCTACTTGAGTCGGCGTTACATCCTCCCTCAGTGATGGAGTCCGAGAGACCGTCGACGGCTCAGGCATTGAGGCCAACCGACGTCGAAGCCACCGGCATCAAAGGCACAATCCTCCGCTTCCAC